CGTTGCTAAGCTAAAGCGTTAAATTGGGAATATTAACAACACTGGCCGCCCGAGTTGGGTATTTGAATGTTATTGCCTGGCCACTAACGTCAATGCGCAGTTACCACGATTGGTCGTAACATCATACATCATATTACTATGCTAGAAGTAATCATATTTAAACATGTTGTATTAGATATTCCATTAGTCTTCAGTTTTTGAAACAACCCCGTTTTTTTATTTGCCGGAAAAAAAATCGAATTGGGTTTCTTACAGTGGAAACTTCCTCGACGATGTCCCACAATCCCAACTCCCAACTTTACTAATGATCCCCGGAACGCGGAAGTTTCAGAGATCTCTCCTCGCTTGCCAGGTCAAAATTGAGAATGTGATGCAGCAAAGTAGCCTCATTAAATAAATTCGAGCAAAGGGCACAAGAAATATGGGTGGAGTTCCAGCACATTCAGCATGGGATTCATTCTGACGAATTATACATGTATCCAATTAAAGGACTTAGGGAACTAAGCTACCCGGAGGCCTACTATACGTAAGGATATAACGGTGGTGTAGCCAGAATTTCTTCTTGCGAAGCCATTAGCTAATTTGACTCATTCTATGTGTCTCGCAAGTTACGAGTTAGTGTTCCAATCTCTGAAACTGCTGAGAAACGATTAAATGTGAGAATGAACACTTGGGCAGTCTCAAGAACGTTTTAGCATAATTTATCTACAACCTATTTTTTACTAATAGCTTTTCCAGGTGTTAATATTTTGACGCTCTGGGCTCTAAAGAAACGGCAACCTCATAAGTTGATCAATACGCATCATTTATTTCATCATTCATCGTTTCTGTACTAATTCACACTCTTCAAGATACTTGAGTGGTTTATTATATGTGAAAAACTGTGCGTATATGATATGTTGCACATAAAAAAAAACTTTATGGCATGACCAGGGGTAAGCTGCACTTCCAATGAACTCATAACATTTGATCTGTCTAAATAAATCTCTTCTTCTTTCTTCTTTTCCATTTTTCTCGCCCATATTAACCATGTACAGTCTGCGAAAATCGCAAGTTGTTAGCCTACCAAGCAGGGTTGAAAATCACTTCAGGATCAACTAAGCCCGAAATACTCTTTGGATTCTTACAAGGGTAGGTTTGGACTTCAATTTAGATACTTCAGGAATCACAATTTTTAAACAAGTTTTCAACAACTAAAGATGCCCATTTTCTACCTGTCTTTGAGGTTAAGGCCCAGTTTTATTATCCGGGGATCGAATTTTGCTTCATGGATCATAACTTACCAATAAAAACGCGTTTTAACGGATCGAATAAATATACTATTTCTTCTGAAATAACTCCTAAACTAGCGAAATAATGTACGATTTGTGTAACTCCCATATTAAATCTAGAAATGGTTTATAGATCACCTAGTCAAGCTACAAAAATCTAATTTTTCATCTGTTCAGGATAAAAATTTTTTCCACCCCTTTTAAATATCCTAGCATATGCTCAAAAATGTGAAAATTTTGTTCGTTTGCTACTCATTCTAAACTGACCTATTAGTGACTTCCATCATATTCATTGATCATTTTTCGGAATCGATGTATTTTACCTAATCTTGTTCCTTGGGTAACCCTTACCATAAATCATGAGGTTGCCGGGCGGTAATCGGACGCACTTTTTTCTAATACAGATAACAAAACTTTGTTTTTTCGACCCCGACAAGGTTTTTTAGGTTTTCGAATCAGTTTGAATAAAAAGGTAATAGATACTGTACTTTAAAGTTGAGGATTTTCAAATTATAAGCGATTTCATGCCTCAGTAAAAGATTGTTGTTTTTGAAGTTTAAACTCTCCCCTATAATACTCCGAAGAATATTCATTTTGGAGCAACTTTAAGCCTTTTGGTAGGCTAACAAATAACGAACTTTCGATTTCCGCAGACTGTACATTCAGCAAAACTCTTAGAAATCAAACATCAGAAAAGATACAAGAACCACCCTATTTACTCAGAGTTTCTTTTTTGTCTCTTATATTATTTAGTCTTTTAACTTATGTAGTGGTGTATCCGTTATCTGTGACTGGATCTGATTTTTTTTAATTGAAAAAAATTACTAATCCTCTTATAATAGATTTTTCATTATTGTTATTCAACACAACATTGTTCTCCCCAAATTTTGTATTATAATTTTGTTTCATCCTGGTTGGTATGAAAAGCAGCTTTTCGCTGATACCCGCCAGATTAAATAGCCTATTATTATTATTATTAATTACGGCTTGATTCAGTCTACTGGAAAACTGTGAACTCTATCGCATTTACACTAGCCGACATGGAATGAACAAAATATATGCAATATTAGGGATGGTAGTTCGTGTAGTTCGTCAATTGATGTAAATCAAGCGTCAATGAAATGTTTTGGCGCGCAGCAAAATGTGTTCGTTACCACTATCAGCTTTAAAAATAATGCTTAAAGTCGGAAATACATGAAAACATTTTTAACGCTTTCTATAATAATTGTACACAAAATCCCAAAGTCTTGCTGGCGCAGGTATCTATTTGCTTTTATGATAGGTAACCATTGGTAATGTTAACCATTGGTAATGTTTGTATTGATCTCATCAGCAGATAGTAGCGCGTGCCAAATTCGACTAAAAATGTAATGGATATCTAGATAAATAGAGAGATAGCAAAAATATTTCTAAGGTAGAAAGAACACCAGAAAAGGTGCATTTTTTAAATGTGCGCCCTAAACTGTACCCTTATCAAGGCCCAGACTAAAATTCAGTATGAGCAGTTTGAGAAACGCAGCGTAGAGCGGACAACGCCATTGAGTGCAATGGGTGCCCTACTGGATCTCCCACCGTTGGAGCAGGGGTGAGATGATCATCCCTAAATATCGCAACAACCGCAAGTTTAATGTGGAGTATCCAACGAGGGCGGAGTGGGACTGCGGAAGCCGGAAGGTCTCCGAAGAGAGTGGGAACGCCTGGTACCCGGACGTTTCGGTCACTGAAGAGGGCTCTGGCGCCGGAGTCTTGGGGCTTAGAACTAGGTTATCTTTGCATCTCGGTGGATACACTACTATTTTCTAGGCGGAAATCTTTGTGATTCTGAAAGGAAAGGAAATGGACTAGGAGAAGAATAACAATCCTATCCGACAACCATGCTTCAATGAAGGCAAGATTACTTCGAGCCTTGTATTGCAGTGCAGGGAGGCCCTGGATAGTCTAGCAGCGAGGCATCCATCATTGTTAGTGTGGGTACCGGGGCACGGTGGGATAAAGGGCAATGATATGGCGGACGCTCTTGCGAAATCAGGTTCAGCGGACCAGCTCGTTGGTCCTAAGCCAACCTGAGGGGTGTCCACGCAAAGAGTCAGGAGGAAAAGGGCGAAGTGGATTGCAAGATAACACACACAAATAGAAAATCGACTCTAGACATCTCCGTCAGGCAAGGAAGCTCATCGTAGGGCCAAGTGCTAACGATGTACGCTTTTGCTTATATTTGGCTACCTAAGGTTGCTGGTGGGACTGTTATCTGGCCATAACACGTTAAGGCGTCACTTGCGTCTGATGAGGGTGGCTGAGGATTCCTTGTGAGAGCACTGCAGGGTAGAGACCTCAGCACATGTTCTGTGTCGCTGTAACGCTCTGAGCTACTAAAGGCAGATTCTACTGAGGAGGAGCTAAAGCAGGAGCTGAACCAGAAAGGATATATACCCATCTCCATGGTAGTGGTGATACTACCTAAAATCAAAAAATCACAATTATTCAATGAAAAAGAACTATTAGGCCTCTCAATTAAGGTTGAGGTTCAAAAGAATAATACACTCATTGATCAGTGTCACCGCTGCCAGAGGTATGGTCACGCCCAGTCTTACTGTACAGCGCCACCCAAATGTGTAAAATGTGCACAGAACCACTTAACACATTTGTGTCCCCAAACAAGACAGGAGGTAGCCAAATGTATAAACTGCGGGGACGGGCATCCTGCCAACAGTCCAACGTGCAGGTTCACTCCTAAGAGGAACCTACAGGTTATAGCCGAAAGGCGCAATAAATCTTATGCTGAAATGACAGCCAAGCTTTCAGCTCCTGCCACTTCAGCCGCAGCTCCTGCTTTGAACTCTCAACAAATAGACCTGGCGACCGCGCTCAAGTCACTCCAACAAATTATTGCTCCTCTGATAAGCGCAACGCAGGCGTTGCAAGCGATCTTTTCGCAGCCTATAGATGGCTAAGTACAATAGACAGCCTGCTTTTCTCAAAATTATGTCCTGGAACTGTTGTGGGTTGAGAGACGTCGGTAAGAAACGAGAATTTCACCAGGCCCTTTTGGACGAGTCTATAGATGTGGTATTGCTGCAGGAAACCTTTTTAAAACTCGGAGATCGCTTCGTCTTCGCGAATTATGATGTTATACGTGCTGACAGGTTGAATGGGAGAGGGGGCTTGGCCGTGCTTGTTAAGCATGGACACTACAGAGGCACCAATGCTGAAATGCAAAGCATCCCAGTGAAACAACGGTGTATATGAGGTGCGGTCCTGGCTTCAAGAAGCGGACCTGGAAATCCTCTGGTGGCAGGGTCCATCAATTTGGATCCCCAGAACGTTAAGGAGCTGGACTCAAGGATATACTCAACTTTTCTAGAATGGTGCGGAGGTTTAGGGAATGTAGGGGTGTAAAACGGTCCGTTTTAGTGACCTATGCGCTGCCTCCTCATGGTGGCCGGTATGCCTCTAATTTCATAATTCATCCATTATTCATTGAGAAACGTGTTCCAAAATTGACTTCACTAAAGTTAAGGTCGTAGACTGGACTACCTTACCGTAAGCGTCATTTTAAAAATACTTATACAATGTAATCAATCTGTGCCATCAGTGACGTAGAAATTTATGAAATGAAAGACACAGCGCGAGGTGCCTCTCAAATGTCTATTTATCATTCCACGTAAAATAGTGGAACAAAACTGCCAGAGTACAAGAGACTTATAGCTGAATACATTTTTTGATGCTTACCTGTGTCGGTCGCCGTGGTGATCAATGATGGCGGCGCCACGACTATAGAGGGGCCAGCCCCCCCAGCCACGCCTATTACCACATGTTTATATTGTGGAGTGAACCTGCAATGAAAAGGACAAAATATACATCCACAACTATTCTTATGCACCGTATTATTTTTTCAAGACTTTATTTAACTTGTAATTTCAAAACTACAATAACATTGCTATTACTAGAATTTATAAATGACGTTTTGTCACTTGTCCTCAATCATCAACTTTATAGACACATACATTCTGGATTTTTGCACAGGTACATAGACTTTTTCATTTCTGATTCCAAAAATGTCAGATATTGGTATTGTCAAGGCTTAGTTATTTCAAAAAAATGTCACGCAAATTGACTCAGCACTTCTTACGTAACCAATCAGTTCATAAAGGATTATGTTCGGCACAAGTAAGCTACAAAAAAATATAATGAAGAAAAAGTTCACATCCAGTCGAGCAGCGGAGGTCGGCAGAGTCGCGGGGCGTATGATCCACTGTTCAGGGTCGGAAATATGTATCCGCCATTTAAGGATGAATGTACGGACAAATCTATAATGAGTGAAATATATCTAAGTGGTGCGTAGTATTACTACAGCTGGAGGCGTATGAGTATATCGCTGTAGAAAAATTGAAATATACCCTCCCCCATCAACCTACAACCCCCACCCCCAACTTTCACCCCTTATTTTTTTTTCAAAAATAATAAGGTTTATAGATAAATAAATACCACCTTATTCGTGGAAAGGGGGGAGGATTTTTAGTAGTTACAATGTAATTTCAATGAGGGCTTGTTTGCCTTGCGAAACTGTCACAAAGTACGTGATTCGCTAATGGTCTTCATCATTATCTTGCAGACTTGTCGGGCTTACTTTCGAGTAAACCATCCTCTAGACCTTGAAGACAACATAGCATCCTGTCTTGTAAGAACAAAATTATTATTAATAAAAAAGACATGTGTTCATGTAAACGTATGACCTGCATGTAAAATGAGTTATGTATCTTGAATGTTATGTGACATGTACAAGAAAAGACATGTTACCCATTTCCGTCGGTCTGTCTGTCCGCTAATCCTTGTCCCCGCTATAACTTGAGACGTACAACGAATTTTGATAAAATGTTCATATAGGCTATGCCAAGGACGAAACGGCTATGTATTTTTTGAAATTCGATTCCGTGGCGGTGGAGAAAAAGGCCAAAAACGAAAAAATAACACTTGCGCAAACTTCATTTTTTGCCGTTTCAGAGAATCGTGATCATTTTCGGAAATTTTTATTCTAGCTAAAAATTGCGGGTTAGGAGTTGCAGGTGGTTGGTAAGGCTATATCTTAATTATTTAAAATTAGTATATCTATACGCCAATATCGTCATACACGCGGGATTGGTCATCGCAACGATCATGTGCACCTGCAGGAACTTGTCTCAGGGGAGGAGGAAGGTCATTTAATTTTTTGTGATACATGATCGTAGCTAATTTTTTTTTCGGAATGGCTTACTTGTCCTCGAACCATGAACTGATGACGACGTTGCGAGGGGAAATACAGAGTTACCTTACTTTGCTTTTTTTTCGTAAAATTTGATATTTCCGTATAGTTTTTGATACCACTTGAAACTTGCATCAAGAGATGCTAATATCGTCAAAAATTCGGTTTTCAGGATTTTCGAACTTCCTGTCAGATGGTATCGGATGAAATTGTTTTGAAAAATCTTATGCCAATGAGCGCATTCAACTAACATAATGTGGTCTAGCGGTGCAGTACTTTTATGCTGAATAGCAGTAGCTATTGGATAATTTTGTCAGTTTGACAGCGGTTTTCACTTGGCCGACAGATTTGATAGTTTGTTGATTAAATGTTGCGCACTGAACCTATTCGTGCTGCCCTATCCTTGACCTAAAACTTTTTGCCTAGCAAAATTCGCAGCGTAGGTCTGGACAGGTATTATTGTTCTTTAAAGTGGAACTTATTTAAAGCCACTCAGCTTCATTTGAACTTGCTTTCGATGTGCTTGAAAATATCTCAATTTGTTTCACGGTTAGCGTTTTTGAAAATCGCTTGTCGACTTGAAGACGACTAAAAGGTGGTGGTGCTTATCGACATCTAACACAGGTTTTTATTTATATCTAGGGTGTAGGGTATTATTGACTCGATGGTGTTGCAGTGTTTTGAATAAATTCCCGGTACCTAGTGGCACACCACTTGACTAACGATAATTTAGTCAGGCATATTGGAAACTTGGACAAGAAAAGACTCGAGGCCGATGACCACTTAGAAGAATTGTAAGGCTATACCGTCTAAGAAAGCGGGATGTGCGAAATGTGGAGAAAATGCTGCAATGTCTTTTGCCATTGCCTTATAGATCAGATGTGATAAGTAATGAAGCAAAATTATGTAACTATAATAAGCTTCTTATACTTGCAAGTCCGATAAAAAGATACAAATGACACTGCTGAAATACTGATGCTCTTATAATAGAATAACTGTAACTACCTTTTATGTTGATAAATAAAACAAACTGTTATCCAGTTATTGTGGTATACAAATGCATGTATGAATATATTGCATTGCGTTTCTTGACTATTGGAAGCCAACAAACTGACGTAGTTAGAAATTATATCGTAACTCTCAGCTGGTCATCTCTCTCAATCTCTCGAACAGGAATGTGAATATCTTAACCAAACGCTTAACGCTTTTGCCTTACGAGATGGTTCGGTAAGCGTTTTGAAAACGTATCGCTTTTAAACTAAATGACCAGAATACCGGACCTGTTTGTGTCCTGCAATTTTATTATTTTTATTCCAGAAGAGATAATATATGTTGTTTTATTCAGTTTATAAACTTTAAACGAAACTGCCCTATTGTAGAACATCGTTCACACTTGGCGTTATGAATAAATAAACACTATTTAAGATGAACTCCTCGAAAACACCGCAACTCTAATAGCGTATATTTTCTCTGGTGAAGTTGTAATGCCTTCCTCAACTTTCCTGGAGGAATTCTCGCGCCGCTCCACAGGAAAATACAACTGGAGGTTATTGTAAACTTTATATTAAATAAAAGTTTTCATCCGATACATTTCTAGCGGCGGTGCGGCGTGCCAGTTTAAGGGGACGCGCTGGAAACAGTGTGAGGAACAAAGGATAAAACAAGTACACTGCCGTTCAAAAGATTTTTGGACTAGATGATTAATACTTATTATTGAAAAGGTTAGCTTGATTATACAGCAAAGTCCTGATAAATATCATGCAAACAGTGATCATATCACTCCTTTAATAACTTCAAATAAGAATGTCAATCACCTTTTCAAGTGATATTTACATGTACTTTTTTGCTAAAAAAACATGTTTTACATTCTCTACTTCTGATTACGAGTCTTTTAAGAATAGTTGTTTCAGGCCACGTTATTTTCGAGTCGTTTTAGAGTGTTTTTTTTAACGTCTGACACTGCTTCCTATTCATCGGTCAAGTCCGTCTCAATGAACTTCGATTAGACTGATACTGGGAAACTCAGGTGGACGTTCTGTGATATGCAATGTGTCTATTGCTGATTTTTGAACAAATTATTTTTACTTAGTTATGATAAGTCTGTCTGATCGTTACCATGTTTTCGTAACAGAATATGGCCCAATAAGTACTTTACTAGCAAACAACACTTCGTGAACATGAATCTTCTGATAAAATTTTGCCTTAAGAATATTATAAGCCCTGTGCAATGGAGAAACACCATTAAATGAGGCAGAGGCACTTTGCAACTGTCTCCCTGATCAACGTTTGTATCAAAGCAGTCGGTACATTGGTGTTTCCTGAACCGGATGCCAAACGTACAATTCTACCACACCACAGCACTGTTGTCCTGTCTCCCCAAGGTAACTCGGACCATGGTGTTGTAGACGTAAGGTGTAAATCAGAACCATATATGCCAACAGAGATTCGTTCAGACCTCAGATACCTTTTCTCCGGCTTTCCTTGGAGAGATACTTGTCTTGCTGACTTGAATGCGTCGGCTGTCAGTACATCAATAACTCAACTTATATAGGCTGCGATGCAGGAATACATCCAACATTTTGGGGAAATCTATTAATGGCATGTTATACATGACATTTGAGGGCACATTTCTAAAATATTGGCAATTATATAGGGTGTCCCAATTTTGACCTATATATCAAAGTTGTGATTTTTTAAAAGGAATACCTCAAATTTTATTGCCTATTTGAGATGTAAGGTGTTTTGTCCAGAAAAACCGTCCACTTCGGCAACCTCTCAATGCGCCATTTTGAAATTTAGAGTGCCGAATTTTGTACCAAAAATATTTACACACCTCAGCTTTTATCTTATTTATTACTTTTTCGAATTTTCATGCTCATACAAAAACGCGAATTGTACTTTTTCTCAAAAATTTCAAATGCATCACCCTGTATATTTGTGCTAATTTGGATTCATTTTTTTTAAGCTTTTTTTGTATAATTTTTGATTCAGATAAAATCACTTAGATTTTGTGGTTTCAAGCTTTTTAGGCCCGTATCGTCAGTCGTTCCTACAATTGTAGCGCGCGTTTATGGCCTCCCTGATTGTCATACTCCTTTCTCTCCTCCAAAAATTTCTAGATTGTACCTGTCCCGTGTCAGCATCAGCGCTCTCCTATTGCGAAGATATTTTTTCTTTTTAAATTGTAGGAAATTTCAGGCTGATAAAACATGACATAACTCAGAAGCAAGCACAATTTCATGCAAATAGATGTTTGTGACATAACCTCAAAATAGAACGCTGACATGGAGAAGTAGAAAACTATGACAATCAAGGAGGCCATAAAGGCGCCCTACAATTGTAGGGACGACTGACGATACGGGCCTAATAGAACAACACACCAAAATTAAGGTAAAAAATCACATCATCCATGAAAGCAAAAGAGTGGGCTAGCTCCATATTGCCACTAAGAGTAGAGATTTGACGTAACAACTAATAACAATCAGAACAGTATAAATCAGCTTCAAGCGTAATAGAGAAAAACAACTATAACAACTATCACTACTCAAGACCTAATCTACAAAAACTGCTCGAAAATATCTCCACCATGTTGAATACACACCCGTAGTCTTTGGATAAATGACCGTTGCACATCCCTCAGAATGTGTTCCCTTATGTTCAGAAAAGCATCCTTAATCCTTTCCTTCATATTTTGCGGGGTAGATGTGGATATCTATAAACCTCTTGCTTAACGTAGAACTATATAAAGAAGTCCATCGGTGTCATAATAGATTACCAGATATTATTTGGTAATCTAGGAGGCCAAGATATAGGTCCATCACAACCGATCCAACGATTGTTGGATGTCGCATATTAGGGTACCGTTGCTTATAAATTCGTGATGCTAGAAAACTATTTCTTTGGGCTTC